GTTCTTTGTCCCAACTTAAAATGCACATTCTCCTCTTTTCTCATATATTGCATTTAGTTGTAAGACAGGCTACAAAAGTTTTGAATTTTAATCCATCTTGTGTGTTGGGAATTAGAGAATTTTATTTCTTGAAGATGTTTGTTTTCGTGAAAACTTTTTCTCTCCATGTATCATGGAGTTTGAGATGCAGCTATTTATTAGTGCTTAGTGCTTATTCATTAGAGAATCAGTATTTGATAATTCTACTAGTGAAGTAATATGTATTATTTATACTGTAGGGGTGTTGCTTGATGACTTGGTTGTTGCTGAAGACCTGGCTGCTGCTGAGACAACAACAGCAGCATCACATGCTGCAGCTGCAGCTTCTAATGTGCATTCAGGGCGGTTACCTGGAAGGTATGGATTTGGTGATGAAAGAGAACAGCAAACAATGCCTGAAGCAGTTCCTGATGGATCAGTTGTGCTGGGAACTCCAGTTGGCCCCCCTGTAAATGGGGATATGTATACTGACATAAGCACTGAGACTGCCATGCTTCAAGGATCCAGGTAAAAGAGCACTGTAATTTTATTTTTTATTGTCCATCAAATGCTCAAGCCTCCTCATCTAATCCAAGGAGCTGCTACAATGTGCTTTATCTTGTAGAAGAATGAGCAAAGGCGTTGAGTATTTGGTTGAGGCAGCAGCTGCTGAAGCTGAGGCTATTAGTGCCACACTGGCTGCTGCCAAGGCACGACAAGTTAATGGAGAAGTTGAACTCCCCAATAGGGATCGAGGGGCAGAGGCTACACCTAGTGGAAAACAGATGTCTACCTTGATTAAAATGCCTGATTCTGCTGGGTCAAATGATGTTGCTCCAGCTGGAGTTCGTCTTCACCATAGAGCTGTCAGTATCAGAAAATTTGATTGACATGATATTGTTTTTAAGTCAATATTGGTATTTTTAGTTATCTATGACTTTGTGCCTAATGTTTCCTTTATGCCAATAGGTTGTTGTGGCTGCAGAAACTGGCGGTGCTTTAGGTGGGATGGTCAGACAACTTTCTATTGACCAATTTGAAAATGAGGGCAGGCGGGTTAGCTATGGGACTCCTGAGAGTGCAACTGCAGCAAGGAAGCTATTAGATAGGCAGATGTCAATTAACAGTGTCCCAAAAAAGGTACTAATATCATCTTTTTGTATTATAAAACAGCACCTGTTTTTTAAAGGTCATTGTTGATGTGTCTACAAATAAGATAGGAAGAAGTTGAATGGTAATTGCAGGATCTTTGTGGCTGTTTACCTAAACCCCAATCGCTAGCAGATAAGATTGATTTCTTTCAATTTGAATGGTTTAATTTATGGATTAAGATATTGTTGTATCATTTGCTTCATTGTAATGATTTTAATTTTATCTTATCCAAGTTAATATGAATCTTTTCTATTTATGCCACTATATAAATTTGGGAGTAATTTGTTTTTTTTTTACTATTAATTGAAGATGACAGTGTTCTATGTTATTCTATCCCTGTGTATCTTTATTGTTCCTAAGGTTATTATTTCCCTTGATATGTCTTGATTTACAGCAGGAACTATACATCTTAAAGCAGTGAAAGAAATCATGTTGGCTTCTTAATCAACTTAGCTTAAATTCTGATATAAAAGAAATGGGAAAGAAAAAGTTTGAAAAACTACAAACTGTTTTCCTTGTGATTACTGTAGGTAGATTTCTCATCCAAATTGGAAAAAATCCATTTTTCTTGAACATGCCAGTTTAATAATGTGACTGATCATTCTCATTCATTGAACCTTTGATTTGTTTCAGTTGGTTATGAGATACTGAATCACTGATGAATGATAGCACAGATAGGATTTTCTCTGAAGTATTCAATTAGTCTTACATTTGTCCTCCTGTTATTTTTTTTCCAAACTGATTCACTCTATAATGTAGAAAAGATTCATTTGCTAAACTATAATGGAGTTTCTACATGTTACTTTGTCCAGGTCATTGCACATCTTTTGAAGCCTCGTGGTTGGAAACCTCCAGTTCGTCGTCAGTTTTTCTTAGATTGCAATGAAATAGAAGATCTCTGTGAAAGTGCCGAACGAATATTTGCTGCTGAACCAACTGTTTTAGAGCTGAAAGCTCCTATTAAGATTTTTGGTGATCTACACGGACAATTTGGGGATCTTATGCGCCTTTTTGATGAGTATGGTGCACCTTCAACAGCTGGAGACATTGCGTAAGTTCGGTTAAAAATTCTTGTTTTGTTAAGGCTCTTCACTGGCAATGTTTAAATTGACTAGGTTTTCAACCGACCCTTTTTGATACTAGAAAATACAGTTCTCTATTGGGTGTAACCTGTATGTGCTGTATTGCATCTCATTTTTAAGCTTGACATTTAATTTTTTTTGATGTTGATTTGGTCTAAATTACTATCAGATATATCGATTATCTCTTCTTAGGAGATTATGTCGACCGGGGCCAACACAGCTTGGAAACCATTACTCTTCTGCTTGCATTGAAGGTAAATTTAGAGATTTAGTGCTTTGATAATCTTCTCATGCTTACTTTTACTTCCTGTTGAAGTTTGTGATGAGCCAAGTTTTCATTGGATTATTTTATGTTGCAGATTGAGTATCCCCATAATGTGCATTTAATTCGGGGGAATCATGAGGCTGCGGATATCAATGCACTTTTTGGCTTCCGGATTGAGTGTATTGAGCGCATGGTATTGTTTCACATTGTGTTTGGAAAATGTTAGTCATGATTTGTATGATGTTTTTGTCACCATTGTGATGGCTTGTCTCAGGGTGAGAGAGATGGAATATGGGCATGGCATCGCATAAACCAATTATTCAACTGGCTTCCTCTAGCAGCTCTAATTGAAAAGAAAATCATTTGTATGCATGGTGGCATTGGTCGGTCTATAAATCATGTGGGACAGATTGAGAATCTACAGCGACCAATCACAATGGAAGCAGGCTCAATTGTTCTTATGGATTTGTTGTGGTCAGAGCATATTATTATCTTGTTGTAGTCATGAAATATAATATTCATTGCTTTAATTTGCTGATGCATTTTACTGCATTTTATATTTTAGGTCTGATCCAACAGAAAATGATAGTGTGGAAGGGTTGCGGCCAAATGCTAGAGGTCCGGGATTGGTTACTTTTGGGGTGAGTGTGCTACTTTAAAACGTTATTTTTAAACTTGCAAGCTATAACTTCTAAGTCCTGTCTAGCGGCCTTTTTCTTTGATTTCAATATTCTAGTTCTGATGCCATTTATATTCTCTCTAACAAACAGCTTGTGTTCCTTGTCCCACTTGCTTGTGCAGTTTCATTTCTAGTAAAAACTGCCTTTTCTGGTTACTTCATTGTTGATTTTTCTTTTTTATGCTTATGAAATGGCTTTTACTGTTGCAGCCTGATCGTGTTATGGAATTCTGCAATAACAATGATCTTCAGTTGATTGTTCGTGCTCACGAGTGTGTTATGGATGGTTTTGAGCGTTTTGCCCAGGGACATTTAATCACTCTTTTCTCGGCAACCAATTATTGCGGTGTGTTCCTGACCCTTGGTATACATACAATTTGTCAGGTTCAAACAATTTAGCCTTTAAATTTTGTTTCATGCATGATTTTTCAGGCACTGCGAACAATGCTGGTGCAATCTTAGTTTTGGGTAGAGATCTAGTGGTAGTACCGAAACTCATTCATCCTTTACCCCCGGCAATGTCATCGCCAGAAGTGTCACCAGAACGTCATATAGAAGATACATGGATGCAGGTCATACCTCTTTCCCCTTGTTATTTCTGTATCCTTTTTACTTACTAAGCACATAGCTGCTTATACTGATATAGATTATTTTAATCAATGGGATCAGGAGTTGAATGCTAACAGACCTCCAACGCCTACTAGAGGTCGTCCACAAGTGGCAAATGATCGGGGCTCTCTCGCTTGGATATAATAGTTCCTTCCAGTTGTTTCTATATGCTCATTCAGGCTCATGTTGGCGCATGGTGATTCCAGTGTTCTGTATAAGAGCATGATGCCAAATACAGGCATTTCCAAACTTGTAATCTCTCTCATAACACAGTTTGAAGGCTTTTGCTTTGGTTTTTGGCCGTTTTTCAGCACACGGTAGACCTTGAGAGTATGAAAGATGCATAGTATGAACGATTTAAGTTAGAGAATCAGATTGTGGGCGGCTTAGGTTTCCTTTTCCGGCATGTGCTGAAAGTTGCAAAATTGGGGCATCTAACTCTGTAAAATGCCAGGTGGAAGTGAATCAGTCGGGTGGTTTCTTCAAATGGGTTGGTAGTGTTTTTTTTATTACTTGTTTAATGTCTAATATTTTTTTACCCCCTTTGTGTTGGTTATATGTGATGGTGGCGTTGCTTATATCAAGAGGTGTTGGTTGGTGTAATTCTATTTTTTCTGTTATGTACAACGGTGTAATGTTGGCGTGAAGATGACAAACTGTTGTTGAAAATTTTACAAGTTTTGGTCGTACGTTTCATTTCCAAATTGGGATTCAATACGTGATCATTATCTTGATTTTGAACGTGCACATATATTCATACGAATATAAGTTGACCGAGTAGTGGTAGCGGTGTTGTAGGCATTTTGTCTAAGCGAATGAAAAAAGTATAAAATTTCAGTCAGTCACATCCTGAATCTAGACATAAACCAAGCCCAAGTATCAAGGTGTAATAATCTTGTTTGTACCCAAAATTAAAAACAGTTCAGCCAACCATGACCAGTGCTGAACCCCCCCCCCCCCCGCCAAAAAAAAAAGGGTTAGAGTCTACAAAACCAATTAAAAGATAGTCGTATTCTAAAGACAAATAAGATCAGACTCGACACATTTCTCTTGATGTGTTTTGATTTGATCCATTGAGATCAAATTTTATATTTTTTAATTATAATTTTTTTTAGATAAGTAAGAATTTTTATTTATCCAGTAAGAAAATACAAAGTCTCAAAGAAGGTCAAAGACCACTATACAACAAAAATGTTTAGGCTATATTCCAATTGTTACAAAGAAGCATATTAACATTATCAAGCCTATTGAAATCTCTATTCATATGTTGAAGTCCAACTATCTCTTTAATAGAACCAAGCAAGTCTTCAACAGTTCGAAATTTTCCTTGAAATATTCGACGGTTTCTCTCCTCCCAAACTTTATAGATGAAAGCACACCATGCTATCTTCATGATAGAGGTTAAGAGAGACTTACCTTTCCAAGTTGATGAAGCCCAAGCAAGCTTGACTTCCCATGACATATGAGGAACGGACAGATGAGACAGGTTCAAAATACCATTCCAAAGAGACGTGACCACAATGCAATCAGCAAATAAATGATTTCTCGTTTCAAGAGCATCATTATAGAATAAACAATAACCAACAGTAGTTAGCCCCGTACGTAAAAGTCTTTCCCTAGTTGGAAGTCTATCAAGGATTGCCAACCAAGTAATAACACTAAGTTTAGGGATGTGAAGGGGAAACCAAATAAGTTTTTGCCAAGAGACTTTATCATGTTTGTGTCTTACTTCTTCCCAAATCCCTTTAGCAGTTGTAATTCCAGCATTAAGAATGGGGATGGCATCATTTTTCAGTTTCAACATTTTTTTAAAGATGTAGCTTGAGGATGCACTAGAAGACATTTGGCTTCAATCATCATTTTTGATTACATAAGAATAAGTCCAAGCAATCCACAAAGAATCTTGACCAGCAAGAAGATTGCGAATTAACATAATCATGCAAACCTTATTCCAGGATTTTAAATCTTTTAAGCCTAGCCCTCCTTCAGATTTAGGTTTGCATAAATTACTCCAACTTACTCTAGCTCCAGAGGCTGAAGTGTCAGAGCCTCTCCATAGATATCTTGAGCAAAGTTGGTTTATTCTGTTAATAACAAATTGAGGAAGCAGGAATTGGAGACACCAGAAGTTTGCAATGTTCTGTAAAACAATTTTTACGAGTTCTAACCTTCCAGCATAGCTTAAGTGCCTCCCAGACCACTGGTGGATTCTGGATTTGATCTTATCAATAAGAGGGAACCAGTCCTTAATAGTGAGTTTTCTAGGAACAAGAGGAACCCCTAGATACCTCAATGGTAGAAGGCATATCTTGAAACAAGTGGAGATTTTGATGAGTTCAAGGTTCCTTGGAGAAATTCATGCTGCAAAAATTTCAGATTTATCCACATTTAATTGGAGTCCAGAGATTTCATAAAATTTTTGAAGAGCAGAAATAACTCCAACAATAGACTCCATATTTCCCTTGCAAAAGATAAGGATGTCATCAACAAAAGTAAGATAAGTGAGCCCTATTTTCTTATATTTAGGATGATAACCGAATAAACCTTTGATGACAGCAAGATTAAGAAGCTTTGAAAGAATATTCATAGTTAGAACAAAAAGAATGGGTGATAAAGGATCACCCTGCCTATGGCCCCTTTGACCTTTGAAATATCCAATTAAAGAACCATTAAAAGAGATTGAATATCTTGCTCCAGAATAACAAGCTTGAATCCAAGAAATGAATTTGGAAGGGAGATCAATTGCTTTGAGAATGGATAAAAGAAAACCCCAGTCAAAAGAATCAAATGCCTTTTAAAGATCAATCTTGATCGTACATCTTGGAGAGATAGATTTTCTACCATAGCCTTTGACTAGGTCCTGGGCAAGGAGGGTATTGTCAATAATGTTTCTTCCTTTAACAAAGGCTGTTTGATTAAGAGTAATCAGGTTAGAGAGAAGATTTTTCAGCCTTTGAACAAGAATATTTGTAATAGCCATATAAACCATAGAGCAACAAGAGATGGGTCTATAGTCTTTGACCTTGCTAGGATTAGTGATCTTAGGGACCAAAGCAATAATAATAGAGTTAAAAGATGGCAACACAAAAGAGTTCTGAAAAAATATTTAACAGCTTTTATTACATCTTCACCAACCACTGACCAAGTGGATTTGAAGAAGAAAGGAGTGAAGCCATCCGGCCCAGGAGCCTTATCATTACCTTGGCTGAAAAAAGCATCCTTAATCTCATCATCAGTGATATTTTTTTTCCAAGTCTGCTAAAGCCTCAGGGGACAAATTAAAATGAAGCAGATTTTTAAGAACATTGGGATCACTCTTTTTAACATTCATGTCAGTTTTCCCCAATTGATTATTGAAAAAATGAATTACTTCAGAAGCCATGTCATCAAAATCTTCCAGTATACTGCCTTGATCATTCACAAGGACTTAGTTTCTCTCTTATTTTTTGAAGCAATGACCGAGTGGAAGTATTTAAAGCATTTGTCACCCTTCTTAAGCCATTGGATTTTGGCCTTCTGGTTTAAGAATAAATTTTTAGCATGCTCAAGAGAAGATAGATCACTTTGGATAGTAAGTTCAGAATCAATAGAAGAAGTCCTGCTTAGGGTAGAAAGTTGGATTTGTTCAAGTTCAATTTTCTTTTGCTTAACCCTATCAGAAATATTGATGTAGCAGTCTTTGTTTAATTTCCTCAGGCAAATCTTCAGATTCTTAAGTTTGAGAAAAAGAGAAATCATAGGATTACCTTGCATTGGTTGCTTCCAAGAGTTCTAAACCTAAGAAAGGAAGTTAGGATTCTTGGTCCAAAAGTTGAAAAATTTGAAAGGTTTGGGTCTATTTTTTTGGGAGTCTTTGTTAATCCAAACAAGAGCCATGCAGTGGTCAGAGGGCCCTGGAGCAAGAAATTCCACAAAGGAATTATGAAAGGAACTGGCCCAATAAGAGTTAACAAGCACTCTGTCTAATTTCCTAGCAAGATAGGAATCCTTTTGTTTATTGCTCCAAGTGAAAGTTGGTCCAAAAAAAGGTGATCCTGAAGAAGAAGGTCATGGATAGTGTCTTGAAAATCTTTCATTTCATTAGAAGTGTAAGATCCCAGAATTTCATGATATGAGCTTTCAAAAGAATGGAGAAAGATATTAAAATCACCCCCTAATATCCAAGGAAAGGAACCAATACTAGAATCAAGGTCTTTTAAGTGTTGCCAGAGTTGTTTTCTTTGAGTACCATCATTACTGCCATAAATAGCTGAAATAAAAAATGGGACACCATTTCTAGAACCTTTAACAGTGATACACTGGGCAGTAACTTGACAGAGAGAAAGATCCAAGCCTTTTTTCCACAAGAACCAAATCCTACCATTCGAAGCATGGTCATAGTTTGTGAAGAAGTTCCAAGTACTGAATTTGGGATTAAAAATATCTTCAAACTTTTCAGTTTTAACTCTGGTCTCTAAAAGGCAAAGAACTTCAACTTTGTAAAAAGAGGCCCTTTGCAGAACCTTATTTGTTTTTGAGGATTATTCAATCCTCTTACATCCCAAAAGCAGAAAATCATTGAGAAATAGAAGTTAATTCACCCCTAATTACTTTGTCAGAGACACATTTTGACTTGTCAAAGTGTTCCTTCTTTTTTGCTTTAAGGTCCTTAATTAGTAGAGGCACTCCCAAAGCAGCTGATCTGGGTTTTCTTACTGTTAATCTCTAAGGAAGGAGAGGCTTCATCTAAAGAATTTAAGACCTCAAATCTATTTGAGGATCCTTTTAAAGAGAACTTGTTTTTTGTTTTCAAAGGTCGACCTCTTCCTCTTTTAGTAACAATAGAAACTTTGGCAGCATTTCCTGTTGGAGAAACAATATGTTCCTCAGCAGAATTTAAGTGGGATAGAGGAATTATAGAAGAATTGCTATCCTCATTTGTAGAATGAGGGAGGACATTTATGATATTAGGATCAGAGACAATAGTAACATTTTGAGGCAAAGAGAATAATGAAGATTTGCAAGCTGCAGTAGAGTCTGGAAGAGAACAAGAATGATCCTCTTTGGCAACAGAATCTGATGGAGAAATTATTGAAGAGCTACTGTCCTTATTAGAAATAGGAATAACAACAGGTTGGACGACTTTGCCAGCAGGATCAGAAAAAGTTAGAGAGGAGAAATCAGTTCCTGCTAAAGATTCCTTATCTTTTGATGAATTCTCATTTTTCCTTTTGGAGACTGGTGACAGAGGAACTTGTTGACTAGGCATTCTAGGGAGGTTAGAATGCACAATAGGAAGAGAATCTCCCTTTTTCCTCCAAATTTGTAAATTAGCAGCAGGTGTTGTATCTTTAGGAGCTAAACAAGCTTTATCAGAATGACCAAATTTATTGCATTTAAAACAGCTTTGAGGAAGCCATGGAACTTCTACAAAAACTGTAGTAGACTGCCCATTTACGAGAATAACTTCTATTGATTTAGGGATAACATCATTTCACTCCAATCTCAACATATATTTTAGCAAACTCCAATCTCGATTTTGAGGCAGTGACTGAATCCATGGTTAGTGGGTTACCAATGGCACTTGCTATGTAGCTAAGGCCCTCTCTCGAAAATAGTTTGAGAGGAACGTTGAAGAGGTGAACCCACAGAGGGATTTATAAAGATCAAATTGAAGTCTTTTAGTGTTCAGCTCCTATTTTCTTAGAATTAAGGGTTTATTCAAGATGTGTCATGGTCCATTTTGTAACACCCAATCCCTGGCAGAATCACTATTAAATGAAAAAAAAAATATAAAGGTTACTGCCTGCGAAGCTTACCTGGACATGAACTCCTTTTGCCTGATTGTTCCACAAACTTTCGACCATTCTTTGCATAGTTGCAAAATTAGGAGCGGCCCCCAGGAACTGACCCACCAGGGATGAACTCCATTAAGCTATTCCAGCATCATAAATTTATTGCGGAGGTTGAACAATAGGGCTTGCGTCGCGAGATTTGGGGGGAGGAGTATTGAAGTTCTTGCCCCGATTGACATCCAAAAAGCTTCCTCCAGTCCATTGAAGTGGAGAGAAATAGCATAGGGATGATAGGAAATAGGAAAACCATAAGAAATCACCGGAGACGCCTCGATTCTCAGATCCGTTAGTCCCGCTAACGTACGCCAGAGAAACTAGAGAAAAAGCTATCGCGTGCCTCAGAGAAAACGGTCAGTGTCTTGAACCTTTTAATTATAAATTGAAGTGAACTTTTGTTAAAATTTTTGAAGTTAAATTTACCGATTTATTTTAATATATTTATTTAAACATTTTTATTAATTTTTTGTGGTCAAGTTATATTTAGTTAAATTTTTAATATTAAATCATACTATTTTTTGTGAATATTGAATTATACCTCATTACTATCAAATTAGGATTAAATCAGATTAAAATTCTTAATTTTTCAATTAGGGCGGCTATAAACCTGTTTGGTCTCACCCGGTCGCCATCCCTATATAGTCCTCCAATTTCGAAGGTGATGTGTTTGATTATAAAGATTTTCTTTTAACTACAAATAGGTAAAGAGACTCAAAATGCAAAATTACATAGTATTTTTATATATTTTCTCAAATCTCAGTTCTCTAAAATTTTCCAAAAAGTATTCATTTCTTAAAGTTTCCAAAATACAAAATCACTAGTATTTTTATTAGAAATTTTGACTACAAAATCACCCTCTTCAAAGAGTGGATGTGGAAAAAACTAGATAGGATAGCAAAAAAAAAAGGTAACAACAATAATAATAGCAATACTTAATGGGCACAATTTGAACATGGACTTTGATGATCATCAA